TCAGAGGGGTCAACCCGGGTGTCCTCAGCCACCTTGCTACAGATCTGTGGCATGGCAGAACACCATGGAAAACAAGGTCCAAACAACGCTGCTCACATCAGTGTAGCCAGGAAGCAGAGTCAGGGGAAGGATCTAAGGGCTGGCCACACCCCCGGAAATCCACTTTCTCAGGCCCCACCTCCTAACAGCTCCGCCCAGCCCTGACTAAACCAATGGGCTTAATCCATTGATGAAATTGACGTCCTTGTAGTCCAATTACATCTCATCAGCATGAAAAGCTGAGACTAACAGGTTAACCCACTTGACTTTTCCACGAGCCACAGGACCAAGGGTCACCTCAAGCACCTTTAAACTTGGAACTGGTACCAGAAATGCGGGTTTTCTTGGGCCTTCCAAACTCTGCTGTCCCTCTGGGTGTCAGGTTGACAACCACGTCCCTGATATTTGATGGTCCTCATCCAACAGAGAAGAGTGGCCTCTGGCCCAGAGCCCTTGGTCAGGAACTTGATACTCAGAGAGATGGTGATACAATGCTTTGTCCTCATACGGTTTTACTGCAGTTATCTTAATGGGCATCTTCTATTTATATCGGACGGTATCGACTTCCCACAGGACTGGCTTTTAGAATAAATTTATTAAGTTAAAAGGAGGAGTAGGTGAGCCACCAACCAAAGAGCATACAATAGGCTGGACTGAGGCCCCCGGCTCATATGTAACAGCAGATGTACAGCTCAGTCGACACGTGGGTTCCCCAACAACCGGAGTGGGGGCTGTCCCTAAAGCTATTACCTGTCTGTGGAATCCGTTCCCCAACAGGGCTGCCTTGTGTGGCAGTCGCAGTGGGTGAGGATGTGCCACTCTTCTCTGTTGGATGAGGACCATCGAATATCAGGGATGTGATTGTCAACCTGACACCCAAAGGGACAGCAGAGTTTGGGAGGCCCAAGAACACCCAATGAGGAGATACCCATGGGGGGGCCCACCCTCTCAGAGGAGAAGAGGAGGGGGGATGGTGGGAGGGACTCTGTGACGGGGCGGGGGATCGGGAAGGGAGGCAGCGATTGGGATATGAAAAAAAATAAACAGATGAAAAAATAAACTAAAACATAAAGATTTAAAAAAGTAAAATGAAGAATTGATCCTCACATGAAAGTAGATTGTTATACAGGTGGCGTGAAAATGCACAGGTCAGAGGAAGGGCTTGCTCAGCCAGGGACAAAACCAGGACCGGCTTCTCCTATTCCATGGGGCATTTTCTCCCTGTGACAGTCTATATGCTCCTCCTTGGGCTGTGCAACGTTTTAATTTTTATTCATTCATTCATTCATTCATTCATTCATTTATTTGTTTTTTTTTTGAGTCAGGGTTTCTCTGTGTTGTCCTGGCTGTCCTGGAACTCACTCTGTAGACCAGGCTGGCCTCGAACTCAGAAATCCGCCTGCCTCTGCCTCCCGAGTGCAGGGATTAAAGGCATGCGCCACCACCCAGTGCAATGTTTTTAAAAAGTGACCCATAGTTATTTGTTGTGGCACATGCCTTTAATCCCAGCCCTCAGGAGGCAGAAGCATGTGGATCTCTGTGAGTTCAATGCTAGCCTGGTCTACAGGGTGAGTTTCAGGACAGGCTGGAATGAATAGAGTGACCCTGTCTCAAAAATAAAATAAGATAAAATAAAATAGTGACCCACAGTTGGAAATAAACTTCATCTCAATTGTATTAATTTTTTAAGGCTAAACGTATTTAAGTCAGCAAGATACTTATAATCCCAACAGCTGAGAAACTGAGACAGGACATTGAGTGTGAGCCAGCCTGCGCTGAGGAATGAGTCTGTCTCAGAACTTACAAAAAACAATAAGAAGTAGGGCTCAGCTGGCAAAGTGCTTTGTGGAAGACCCTGGGTTCAATCCCCAGCACCACATAAAACTGAGTGCAGTCAGCGCCTGTCTGTAATCCCAGCCCTCAAGAGGTGGAGACAGGGAGAATGTCACAAGTTTGAGGCTAGCCTGAGCTACGGAGACAGGCCTTCCTTAAAAAAATAGAATAGTGACATTTTCAGATGATTTGATTGTGTGTGTGTGTGAGAGAGAGAGAGGTTGACTTTTCTTACTGGTTGATAGACTTTGCTTGATTTTTTTTCCTGAGGTGTGAAAAAAGAACTATATATTTATACTAGATAGGTCACTTCCTGAGTCTTCCAAAGGGAGCTTCAAGCTTCAACTGTGAGGGAAAACCTCCCAGAAGTCGCTGCAGCTCTGATTAGGTGGTGAGCATCAGAAACCCAAGCTTACAAGTCCCCTCTCACAGACGGCATCTTACACTCCTCAGCGATCCCCCAAGACATCAAAACCTGTGGGTGGTCAAGTCCCTTATATAAACGATGTAGACTCTACCGATAACCATACATCTTAAACCAACTCTAGGTCACTCCGGAGGCCCTAGTGCAATATAAGAATCACAGAGATAGTGCTGAACTGTACCTTTAAGAAGAGCGACCTGAAGGGCCCTGCCATGGTGATGCATTCCTTTAATCAAAGGCAGTTAGACCTCTGTGAGTTCAAGGCTAGCCTGATCTATGTATCCTGCTTCAGGATAGCCAGGGCTGAATAGAGAGACCCTGTTTATATGTGCCCAATTGCCCTAATATTTTATACTATGGATTCAGAACACTCAAATACGGAGGGCCACATATCCAGATATTTCTCATGTGTGTGTGTATGTGTGAAACACACACACTCAGGGTGGTGTACATATTTTCCTGAGTGTGTGAGATATATATATATGATATATATATGTATATATCATATATATCATATATAATGAACTCATAGATATACACATATATATGGTATGCATACTGCAAACAATTCAGAAAACGTAAAAATCCTAAAATTTCTTATGTATTTGTTTACATGTGTATGTGTTTACACACATGAGGCTATTCTGATCTATTACTCACTAGTTTATTTTTTTAAGATTTTATTCTTGCATATTTTATACTTCAATCATATGTCTCTGTGTAGGTGCATGCGTGTGAAAGCAGGTGCCCATGGAGGCCAAAGGAATCGGCTCCCTCTGGAGCTGGAGTTAGAGATGGAACTACCCAACACAGGTACTGGGAATTGAATCTGAGTTCTCTACAGGAGCAGTACATGCTCTTAACTGCAGAACCAGCTTTCCAGTCTTTTTTAAAAAAAAATTCACTTATGTGTGTCTGTGCATTTGGGTGCAGTGCCCATGGAGGCCAGAAGAGGGAGCCAGATCCCCAGGAGCGGAAGTTACTAGAGGTGTGAGACACCTGAATATCAGTGCCAGCAGCGGAAATCAGTTGAGCCACCTTCCCAGCCTCTCCACCTTATTTTTTGAGACAGGATCTCTCACTGAACCTGGCCTATTTCCCCCATAGGCTAGCTTGCCATTGTACCCCCTCCCCCAGTGCTGTCCTTACAGCTGGCTTTTTTGTTTGCTTTTTGAGACATGGTTTATCTGTGTAGCCCTGGCTGTCCTGCAACTCTCTGTGTAGACGAGGCTGGACTGGAACTCAGAGATCTGCCTGCCTTTGCTTCCCAAGTGCTGGGATTAGAGGCGTGTACCGCCACTGCCAGGCTTATACCAGACTTATTTTGTGAGTGCTGGGGACCTAAACAGAGGTCCTCTAGTGAGCACTCTCCCCAGTACATAATGCACTGTTTTCTTAATTTTTGAAACAGGGTCTCACTATGTATGTAGCTCTAGCTGGCCTAGAATTTGCTATATAGATAGGCTGGACTTAACTCACAGAGATTCTATTTCCTTTGCACCTCCCCTTCCCACAGATCTGGTGTGTACCACCACATCCCACCTAGCTAGTTTTTTTTGTTTTGTTTTTTATTTTTTTATTAAGAATTTTTTATTTTTATTTTTTGTGATTTATTTATTTTTATTTTTTTTAAATCAAATCTTAATTTTTACTTATTCACACAGCGGTTATAAACACAAAAAGGCAGGACGTGGGGATAGCTAGTTATTTTTAAGACAGGGAGTCTTGTAGCCCAGGTTAGACTTGAACTTGAGACATGAAGCCAAGGACATTGAACTTCTGATCCTCCTGCCTCCGTCTTACAAGTGGTGAGATTCCAGGCATGCTCCAGTTCAAACTGAGACTTCTGTTCGTACTGGGCAGGCATGCGGCTCAGTTGCACACCCTGCCCAAGATCTGTTCTTCTTTCTTATGACTTATTTTCTCCTAATTCTCACGTGCTTTGTGGCCTGACGAAATGATTTCGTAATCCCCAGCCCACTCTGACCTGAAGTTCTTGCAGCTGCGTTATGCAACCCCCTCCCCGCAACCTGGGACCTGGTCTCTTGACTGTGCTGTGACCTTGACCATAATCTTGGAGAAAACACTTGTCCCTCTCCCCATGACACCCTGAGCCTGAAAAAGCCTGCATGGCTGCACTTGGCTGGGCCCTCCCGATAAGGAGGAGTTCAAGGAACTACAGGAATTGTCTGTCAGAGCTCACCCCTCCTCCACTGGACTCTCCCAGGCCCCCTCTGCCCAGAGTTCATCCCAGAGCCCACAGCCTCCCTGGTGGACATGCCCTAAGCAAGCAGCCCTCCTGAAGTCCTACTTGTGGGTTGTAGGAGACAGAGCTTGAAGGCTCGGGCTGCACATTCACACCTATGCATGAGATATCCTGAGGGGCAGAGTGACTGGCTATGTGAAGATAAGGGGTGACTGTGCACAGGGGTCCCCACATCGTGCTTACTCATGCTCTAATTGATACCAGGGTATGCTAGTTGTAACCCAGGCTCCTGGACAGAGGTCCTGTCTCTCACCGCAACAGACCCTAACCACATCCTCCTTCCGTGAACACACAGGGCCTTCCCTTCCCCCCATCCCCCAACTTTATTGTCCTGTTGTCTGAGTATGTAATACCCTTACTACCTAGTCCCTAGGGCTCCAAGCCCAGCCCTACCTCTTCCTCCCACTCCTGTGTCACAAACTCACAGAAGACAGAGGCCATGGAAGAAAGAGCATATGGGTTTATCAGAACAGGATAGGTAGGGTCACAGCAATGCCTTCCCTCTCCTCAGGGTGGGAAGAACTTAGGCCTGGCTCCCTCCAGTGGCCTCTTCCTTTGAGGATCCTTTTAGTTGACCACTCTGTAGGTTCTTGGGGTAGAGGGAGGAGGCAGGGGGTGGTGAACTGGTGTGGTATGGAGGCTCCAGCTGGGGTGCCCATCAGGGTGCTGCCCCCACTCACCTGTGGCGATTCAGGCATAATTGAGACAACTGTCTACACTTTCCACCTGGAAGAAAAAGAACCAGTTTGCCCATGAGCTGGAAACAGTACTGATGATCACTCATTCACTGGAGACTGGCTGGGGGGATGCAGGGATCAATCTGGGTCTCAGGAGGCTCCCAGTGGAGGGGGACCGCAAGACCGCTCAGCAAGCAAAGGTGTTTGCTGCTGAGCCAGATGTCTTGAGTTCTATTCCTGGAACCTGCGTGGCAGAAAGAGAAAATCAGGGGCTAAAGAGACTGCTCAGAGGCTCTTCAGGGGGTCCTGTTTTTCATTCCCAGCACTCACATGGAGGCTCATAACTGTCTGTAACTGCAGACCCGTGGATTCCAATGCTTTTGTCTGGTGTGCAGACATACAGAAGACAAAACACTCATATATATAAAATAAATGAATAAATCTTTGTTTCAAAAAAGGGAGACAAATCAACTCATGAAGGTTGTCCCCTGATCTCTACACACACACACACACACACACACACACACACACTGAGATGAGAGCCCTGTGGTAAAAGACAGACATGAGATCGAAGAACATGAACGAGAGAGAGGCTGGAACCTGGATCAGAGTCAACTGGGTATGGTGTAGAGAGTTTAAAAAGCCACAGGGCCATGAGAAAGTGGCAGCCACCTGCCTCTCTACCTCCTCTTCTGCTCTCCTTGTCTGTGTCTCCCAAGCCTTTCCCACTGTTAGTGCGTGTGACTTGAGTGTGTCCCTCCAATGCCTGTCTTTGAAGCTGGGTCCTCAGAACTCAGGGTTGGAGCTGAGAGGGTGGACAGCCTTTGAGAGGCAGAGTCTCAGGGCACCTAGGAGGCCATACCTCTGCTTGCCCATCAGCCCTTGGGAGGGTGTGTTGTCATAGAAAGACCAGCCAGTCTCCTTCCTTCTCTCTTACTTCCCATCTCATCATGAGACCTCTTTGGCCACACGCCCTCCCCTACCAGAGGTGGACATGGAGTGTTTTCCTCAGTTGGGCTGCACTGTATTTTCTTTGAAGACAGAGTCCTTTGCTGAGCCTGGCATACATGGATGCAACTGCGCTGGCTGACTCTCTCTCTTCAGCATGGGTGGGTGTCACCCAGATACCCAGGCTGTACATCTGAATTCAGGTCCTCAAGCAAGCACTTTGCCCGCCAATACCTCCCAAGCCCGTGGATCCCTTCTTAAGCTATAAACATTTCTATAAATTGATCCCGGTCGGGTATTTGATCACAATGACAACAGCAACCGGCATAGCTCTCGTGGATAAATGAAGTCAGGACCGGAGGGTGGCTCTGTTGGTAGGGTGCTTGCCTGGCATGCACAACGTGATAGGTTTGATTCCCTGTGCTGCATTAACTGACTATGCCTATAACTAAGCACTTGGGAGGCAGAGGCAGGAGGATCACAAGTTCAAGGTTAAGGCGGAAGAGGTGGCTCAGTAGTTAGTCATGTCCAAGTCCCATCACCCATATAGGGAGACTCACGTCACCTGAAACTCCCAGCTCCAGGGTATCCAAAATTCTCTTCCATCTGCCATGGCATCTGCACTCACACACACACACATACACACACACACATACACACACAGTCAGACAGACAGACAGACAGACACATACACAGTCAGACAGACAAACAGACACACACACACACACATACACAGTCAGACAGACAGACAGACACACACATATACATACACAGACAGACAGACAGACACAGACACATACATAGTCACATACATAGACAGACAGACAGACACACATACACGTACACACACACACACATACACACACAGACAGACAGACAGACACACACACACACACATATACATACACAGACAGACAGACAGACACACACACACACACGGATATTCAAGGCCATCTTAGGTCAACATGAGCCTCTCTCTCAAAACAAAACAAACCCAAAACTTGCTGATCAGTGTGGTACACCTATCACCTCAACCCTCAGGAGGCTGAGGCAGGAGGATTGTGAGCTGAGGCCAGTCTGAGCAGCACAGTGAGACCCTGTCTCAAAAGTCTTGTTTTCTCCTCACACAGAAGAAGCTGGCCCTTGGCTTGTAAAGAAGTAGAATGTAGTGGATATACAGCAGTCATCTGAGCCTGCATATCTCCGTTCTGTGTGTCTCTGCCTCTCTCATCTGGGTTCTACCATGTGACCCAGCCCAGGAAGAAAAGGACAACAGGGACGAAGCATGCACCCTGGGAACAGCGCCCCTTGCTGCAACCAGAAGAACTGCCCAGCTGGACACAACTGGCAGGTTCAGCCGAGTCACCCCTGGGGTGGTCTGTAGGGGTGCTCAGTTTGCACAGCCTTACTCATGGGGGTCTCAACACTCTGACCCTCAGTCACCATGCATGCCAGCCCGCCCCCACCCCCGTCTTGCCCTTTCTGCCCATGCCCCACTCTCACTAGAGAGGATGATAATTCCTGTGATGAAGAGCACTGCTGCCACCAGCAGCCCCCGTTTCCGGAGGGTGGTATTATCTGTGGAGAGAGAAATGGAGGTATCAGGCCAGGGGCATCTTTGTCTTTTCTCCCCATTTATCTCCAGCAGTGCGTGGGGGTAAGGGGGTAGGGGTAACTTACCGTAGTAGAAGGGGTTGTCCTCATTCGAATCTAGAGGGGAAAGATACAGGTAAATGAGAGCTGGTGGACGTTTGTAGAGTGAATAAGTGAAATGCAGAACTAGGGATCGGGGACACCTGAGCCTCAGTCTCCTAAGGCCTTGGAACACAGTGGAAGTCCTCATTACCATGACATGCCGTGTCTCTATACCTTCTCTCCTCAATCTACCTCTCTCTCAGCACTCACTTGCCTCCCTGCTCCCGAGTCCAACAAGACAGCCTCTCATCCCAGAGCCTCTGTACTGCTGTTCCTTCTCTCGGAGGGAGAAGCTCCCGGCACCTCCTTCGCCGGAAGCCTTCTTTGATTCTGTGTATGAGCATTCTCTAATCCCGAGGTTTGCTCTATTTTTCTCGATAACAAATTAAAAATCACATGATATGTAAGTATCCCAATTATTATCTGTTGTTCTTCTCCAGTACAGTGTCACTTTCAGAGGGGTCCCACTAGGTAGCCCAGGCTGTCATGGAACTTGCTATGTAGTCCAGGCTGGCCTCAAACCTGCAGCCATCTTCCTTCTGTTTTCCAGGTGCAAAGATTACAGGGATGCACCACCACACCCATCAACGGCAAGGAGATTTGTCTGTCTTGTTTATGGCTGCCTGGCACACACACACACACACACACACACACAAATCCACACTGAATACACAGATGGATGGGTGACGTGGGCATGTGGCTTCTATGTCATCAGTGGGGGTTGAATAGGCAGGACATGGGGAACACCAGAGGGGAAAGAATCAGGATGACCAAATGGAGCCCCTGCTGACCCACAACTGATCTTAAGTTGTGTGAATGAATCTGTAGTGGCCAGAAGAGCCGCCCCACTGAGCCCAGCCTTCATTTAAACTTCAAACACTCCGAGCTCAGAAAGCAACACCCTAACCATGCCACATGGTGCACTCGTTGGTTTCATGGCGCTCAGGCCTGAGCTGCCACCCAGTCTGACAGCACAGTCTCCTCCATGGCATGAGCCCTGCAGATTTTCCCACATGGAAAAGAAACTACAGGGTGCCTGTTTCTGGTGAGGGAAAAGAGGTACTAACCCGGTGGATCCCCAATGTAGGATTCACGTATGCACTTTTTGGTTGGGCTGGGAGACTCGATCTTGGAGAGGTCCGGGGTACCTTCAGGTAATTGGCAGAAAGAAATGGTCAGAAGACAGTGGAAGGCAGGAGGAGCATCAGGGGCAGACACAGGGATGTGGATGTAATAACGGGGCTACACCTGGGGTGTAGTGCACAGGTACCTCCCACCAACACACTGGCAACAAGCACCTGCTCAGCCCAGGCTGGCCCCTCTTCAGAACCTCCACTCATAACCCAAGAGCAGAAGGCAAGATTTCATGGACTTAGTCCCCTCCCGCCTGGAGATACTTAATTTAAAATATTCTGAGCATCCTCTCTTTTGGGGAAAAAAAAAAAGCAGAGCATTCTCTTTTTAATTTTAACTTAATTAAAAATGTTACCCGGGCGGTGGTGGCGCACGCCTTTAATCCCAGCACTTGGGAGGCAGAGGCAGGAGGATTTCTGAGTTCAAGAGTTCGAGGCTAGCCTGGTCTACAGAGTGAGTTTCAGGACAGCCAGGGTTACACAGAGAAACCCTGACTCGAAAAAAAAAATGTTGGTGACAGATTCTGCCCTGTACCCCACCCCACGCCGGCCTCATGTTCCACTCCTGAGCTCTTACATCACACAAATGTTAAGGGGTCATCTGCTGCCCTAGTCTCCGCTCAGCCTCTTTCCACACACTGCTGCCACCACTAACCTACTTGTCTCCAGGAAACGTCTTCCTGCCTGGTTCTGGGCTGTATGGACTTTTCCAGTGAGGAAACAAGGCTGCATTGACCAATCAGAACAGCCTGCTTTCAGGCTTCCATTGGATCACACAAGAACATGAGCTCAACTGGAGCAATCAGAATCAAGTCTAGGCTTTGGGGCGGGCTTATGGGAAAGTTGTGTGGCTTCCAGCGGCTTGAGTATGGGGCATCTTTGCTACCAAGAAGAACAGTAAATGAAGGCGGGAGGCAGGACAAGCAGCTTAGACATACTGACTATGCTTAACTTCCTCAATCCAGCTATATCTAATACCCTAATAAACCTTTCAGGTTTTATAGAATTGAGCCAATACATCTTTTTTTTTTTTTTAAGGTTTATTTTGCAACTGAAAAGCTCCTGTTGTAACAGAAAAAAAGACACAAAGGAAACCCACAACTCCACTTCTCTCTCTCAGTACCCGCCCAGCAACAGCCTGTCGTCGGCTCATCTATTGCGCTGGGATAAGTTATGCTAGAATGTTCCAGCGTGGAGTCGCTTGCTATGAAGTTAGCTTCATCAAAGACCTAAGAAGGTCGTTCTTAAAGAATCATTGACTTTAACCTAGAATCCTCCAAACACCTTCACACACACGAGCACACACAGAAACACACACGTACACACTGGGAGTATATTAGCAATTCCCCAGGAACATGCTTTAAGAAAAGCACTTGGAGGGAAATGCTGAGCCAAAACAGAGGAAATTAAACAAAAACTGTGGCTGCTCGCTGGGGATTTACCTTTCTTGCTGCTTGTTTGTGGCCCTGGATCTGTCACTGGATTCGTGGTGGCCGTTTCTGTCGGTTGCTGCGTCTTGGTTTTGCCTGCTGTCTGGTTTCCTGTGGCTTCTACTTTGGTTGAAGAAAAGGACGGACGAAGGTTGAGAACTGAGGGGAAGAGACATGCTCAACTCCCCAGACCTGCCTGTCAGGGCTGCCTCCACATGGTGGTATTCCAGGCTGAAATACCAGGTGTCACTTTGTTGGGATGTAGTGGGGACTCTTTTTGAACACTTCAGGAGAATGAAATGTGTGCCCACTACCAGGACTTTTCTTTTAAAACAAAATAAAACAAGGTCTCGCCATGTAGCGCAGGCTGACATTAAGCTTTTAATCTTCTTGCCAGAGCCTCCTTGTGCTGACATAGAACAACTTTTATTTGTTATTTGGGATTGAACTCAGAATCTTATACATGGTAGGCCCGGTACCACTGAGTCCCCAGTCCCTCACTGGGGGATTCTAGGCGGGGCTCTACCACTGAGCCACGCCCCCAGACCCTCACTGGAGGATTCTAGGCAGGAGCTCTACCACTGAGCCACGCCCACAGCCCCTC